AAATTTAGACATTTTAACTTTAAATCTCGACAACCTTTTAATATCAAGTAGTGCGAATATATTTCTCGTGAATACTATTGTCCCGTCGTGGATGGTCTGTTTTTGACCTGACTGAAGAGGAAATTAATCGAGATGCATATAAGTTGATCCGAACACCCTTGACCGTTGAAAAAAAATAAAAAACAATGTTGACCCTCTTTATCACCTATCCCTTCAATTATTATGTTGAGATTCTCGTGCACTAGATATGACAAATGATTAGGCTTTGAGTGTTATTATTTTTTGTGATAAAAATATAAATGTGGTCTTTTTCTAAGATTGACTAAGAAAATATTAAGAATTTAAGGAACCCAGGTCCTTCAAAATACAGTTCAAAATTTTTTTTTTAAAAAAAAGTCCTTATCTATACTTTTACTCTCAACAATTGATCATTTATTGACATGTGATCTACTTATATATAAGGATCCCATATGAATATTTTTTTCATGTGGGGTGACCTCTTATTTAGAAAAATTAAGAAAAAGGATAGTTCTTGATTGGGCGAAATATAAAACCAAAATGAGAGACCAAATGAAGTGTTACTGAAAATGTTTGTGCATTTAGTTCTAATTTTACTTTTTTTTTAACAGACTAATTTTATTAATTTAAAATTCAAATTTTACACAAAATACATGTCAATCCTATATCATTTGGTCCTTATTTTTTAATTAATCTACTATTATGTACCCTAAGCAATGCATGACAGAGAATTCAAATTCCAAAAATGGTATTTAATGTGGGTAGAATTTCATAGAAAACAACAACAATTAGACCTTATAGTTTACCAAACCCTCCAGTCAACTTCAGTTTTCGTTAAAACAGTACACACTATAGGTTATAAAATTGTATTTACATTACACATTTCCAATAATCTCACTTTCTTATTAGGCAAAAAGATCAGTGACAACCCTTTAGAGTTAGGTTACGAGAGATTTATCATTTACGAATACCTTAATTTCAGAGTAGATTACCTATAGACGAAGTAAGAGACTAATCGAAATGCACATTTTGGTGTGAACTCCCCCCCCCCCCCCCCAAACACTCTTCTCGAGGCACACAATCACAAGTCACTCTCTTCTTGGAGAGACTAAACATACAAACATCCCCAGGGGTTATTATCTCACAAAACATAGCTGATGAGAAAGAAAGACCAGCACAAGTTTTATTATTTCTTTTCCTTCTTTTTTTTTGGGTCAGAAACAAGAGGTATCTTCAATTGATATGAAATTGTATAACCACGATTTTAGTTTAGTGACAAAATATCCCCTAGACAATCTGAACAATTTAGATTTGAATCCCCCCTACGTACCACCATAGTTCGAAAAAAAATGTGGGTGCAACTACATTGGTTATCGATAGGCCACCGAGTTGGGTGCACAAGTAAAAACTCCATTTTTTTTTTGGGTGCTTCCTCTATCAACACAATGATAAATATTTGACAAAAAGCCTCAAATTCCACCCCAGTCCTTCTCAACAAATTAGTATATATATTTTGTAATGAACAAGCTAAGCTAGTCATCAAAATAAAGTTTATTATTTGTAATGATATTGACTTGAATGAAGCAGATTATATTATAAACAATATGCTAAAAATAGTCATTTTCACAGCTTCTCTTGCCTGTTAATTTCCTTGAACTTCCGTATGGTTAACCTATATGGGGAATAACCTTGTATTATTGTCTTGATTCAGCTTTATATTTTATCTCAATTCCACAAGACAAATGTGAGTGAAACAGACATGTTAATTAAACAAGCACCCAAGAATATTCTCTCTCAATCGATCGATAAGATCAATTATAATTAATAAATTAATTATATGAAGATGACAGATCCTACTTTAATTTATCTGTCTCTGAACCTTGTAACTCACTAGAATAAAAGAAGAAACGTACTGCTGTTGAACTCTTAATGTTGTGTACGATGCTACAAAACTATCATCATAACCCTAATAGAAAATGCAAAACAAACAAATTTATTTGGTTTATCGTGAATGCTCTTTTTTTTTTTTTGGGGGGGGGGGCTTATTAAACTAGGGAGACGGCTGACCACTAGCAAGTAACCCTTCTGAATATGATCATAACATCAAATTGCGTTATTTCTGTGAATTGAACTTTACTTGATAACTACATAAAAGTTAGAGACGGCCCTAAATGAATACAACTTACTATCACCTCGAATGGTTATCTTGAAAACTCTATAGACAAAGGGTACTAACAACAAAATTCACTATTAAAGTTGAGGATTATAAAAAAATTCTCTTAAATTAATGGAAGTTTCATAGACTAACGCTCAAGAAATTTTTCAATAAACACAAAATAAATTACTTAACTTGGTTCAACTTCAATGCCGATGTCCACGGATGAAGCGTAGTAACAAAAGTTCACTATTTTATTTGACTTTGTTGAGAATTGTTCACTATTTTATTTGACTTTGTTGAGAATTTTTAGGTTGTTAATGTAACATAAAACACTACTCTCGATCTATGATATTTAGCTTAAGTCTTATGATTTATAATTTTATTTTTTTTCATCGATTATATTAACATTAAATTTAATAATATTCTTTCTTATCATTATATCGAGTATCACACTTTATTCTAATTAACTATGTATCTATTAAAAAAAATATGCTGACAAAACTTGAATACAAAAATCTAATAAATACTTTTACATCTTAAAGACAAGAATATAAATAATATTGTCTAAGAAGTTAAATCTTAAAACTTATTTTAAAAGTTAAAAGAGTCCCTTTTAATTTTCCCCCATTTTATGTTGGATTAGTTGAGTTTATGCTTTAAAATATCAACAAGTTGATGAAAGACGGCAATGAGTAAAAGGCCAAAGCTATTAAGAATATCTAAGAATATAGTGATGGGAAAGTTAGCTACAAGCTGGGAGAGCACCTAGGTTTTGGGACTTGGTGGGAATTGTAGGAGTCAAGACGATGAAAACAACGCCATTAATGAAGTAAGATAAGCTCTTCTTGCTCATGTCGTAGGCGAAAAAAGCTATGTGCCAATGCAGACCTTTTCTTCGTCATCTTCTTCCTTTCGGACCCTATTAGAAGAAGACTCTCACGTTCCAGTCATCCATTATTCTTACAGTAGCCTTTTTTGTATTTTAATCATGAAAGAGAAAGTTTCTTCGTCAAGGGATTGATCTTATAGATGGAACAAGAAGAAACCAACAAAAGGGGGAATTTAGGATCAAGTGGGCAGCAATTAATTAATCGTTAATGACAGTCTTTATCGTGTGGGGTAGTTGTACGTTTGATCAATGACTGTCTTTTATTATTTTGTAGAATACCCAACAGAGGCAACTATGCAAGTAAAGTAGTCACAAGTGAAAGGATCACACTCGCAGGGAGTTTGATTGAAATTTCTTGTAGTAATTAATTAGCTAATTTTGTGATTGTGAATGGGAAAGAAAAGACAATATGTACGACAATTGGAACATGAGCAGTAAATATGATGTAGTTTCTTCCTTTTCCTGGACAAATAAAACAAAATCATCAAGAGTAGAAAATATTTACACATTGGGATCGATCATTTTGTCTATTTGTAACAATAATCTATTGGGGGGTTGTTTATTTTCATCAAGTATGGTTCTATGTGTGAGCATGTCATGTGTACTTCTCTCATTATTTTTGAGCTCTATTGTAATATGTCTGACAAAATTACTTACTTCTGTACACGAAAAAAAAAAAAAAATATATATATATATATATATATCTACACAAATAAAAATTCGGGCAGTTAGATCTGCCAAGTTTTTCTTTTTACATGTCATGGAAGTTATCAATATAGAACTCATTGCATTAATATAAAATTTAACTCCTCTGTAAAGACTTAATTTTCAATTCCAATTCATATCTTGAACCAAAACAAGTACAGCTGAGTCCAGTGTCTCCATAGAAAACACGAGATCTATTTAATTTTTCTTTGTGTGCACGGATTTGAATCCAGTGACTTACTCAAGAATGGATAAGAGCTAGAATGAAGTTCAAGAAAAAAAAAAGTGACTTCAAAATGGCAACAACCCAAGAAATGATCGTCGAATTGCTTTTTAACTCTTCCTTCCTAAAAACAGACATTTTTTTTTTATTTGTAAATACACCAATTGCATTAAAATCTCAATGAATTACATCAGTTATAACAAGAGCAATGTCTGCATAAGTGTAGCAGAACAAACAGAAACTTGTCCCAGATTAACAGGGAAATCCACACACAAAAATGAAGGAAAAAAAATTCTTATTGGTAATTTTGGAAAATGAAAGTCATTCTCAAGTCCAAAAGTAAGTGTTGGGAAGAATCAGTCTTGAACTAGTCACATCACAAATAATGTGGAAATGAAAGTCATAATCCATGACAAGAGCATATGCCAAATCCGAGGGCCAGGAATTTCACTAGAATCATCAGCACCCTGAATTCTGAAGTTGTGTTTATATTTACTATCTAAAAATGAGTGTGAAATCATTGACAATCTTGTTTTTAAGGCCCAATTCTCTTTGATATTCTATAATATATTCTCTTTTGAGCAGTTGCTGATTTTAATTGATTAATTTTTTTTCATTTCGATCGGTCACTTGTTCATTCGAATATGCTTTATCTACTTCATATTTCTCTTTTTTAATTTGTCCTTGGATGAAGGGAAAGATTGCATGAAAAATTCATATGAATCACTAAATAAATGGGCGTTGAAGACAATGTAAGAAAATGTTTGTTTTTTTACACCCCTAGATAACTAAATGGGTAGAAAAATTCTTTAATAATTGTTAACCCCCCCCCCCCCCCCTTCTTACCCTTCTCTCTCTCTCTCTCTCACACTAAAATCCAACTGCAAAATTCAAAGCTTGGTGATATATCCGGGGCCTGAGTTCTTTCGTCTCAATTTCCCCAATATGCCCATTCCCTATTTAATCCTCTTCACCATATCATGTTCCACATAATCCCCAATATGCCCATGGCAGCTGAGCTTGGTCTTCTCTCTCTGACCCAGCTTCAAAAATTGGCTCAATCTCAACAAAAGCAGATAAATCTACTAAACCCTAGCTCAACCAGTGGCTCTTGGATGTGGAACCCTACGCAAGCGGCTGAAGATGACAACGATGACTCATGGGAAGTCAGAGCCTTTGCAGAAGACGCCGCTAACATCGAGGGCACCACTTGGCCGCCACGATCTTACACTTGCACATTTTGCAGAAGGGAATTCCGGTCCGCCCAAGCCCTAGGCGGCCACATGAATGTGCACCGCCGTGACCGTGCTCGGCTCCACCAAACGCCGCCCGGATCCACCACTTCTCCTTCTGCCGCTTCTTCCACCCTCCTCATCCCAAATCAGAAAACTCTCACAAATGGTGGAATATGCTTTCTTTACTCGTTACCAAACCCTAATGGCCTCTTCACTCCCACAATCATGACTGGTTTGATGGACCCTCCATCCACTGCTCTTTCTATTTCACCACACACTTCTAAGAACTTGTCCCTACCATGCCCTCCATGCATAGATCTTCCGGCCACTCGTCACAGCATCAATTCCTCTCTCTGTCACTCTAGCAAAACTGAACCTTCAACTTCATTCACTAACGATAGCAAGCATGACAATGGCAACACCCAGATGGATTTGGCCATTGAAGAGCTTGATCTAGAGCTTCGTCTAGGGCGCCGGTCATCACCATCGCGACAGACGAAGAAATAAATAGTATGTGTGAACTTTTTCTGCTTTTCTCTATAAGAATGAGTGCCAGTCTAGTTCATGGACTGATGTGTGAGTTTGTTTTTTCTTCTCTATACATGGTGTTTGATTATTTCATTGGTGTGTGGTTTGAAGCTGTAATGGCTGAAAATGGAAGGCAAAGAAAGCATCTTTTAAATTTAAAGGAATGGAAGGATTTAAGTTTAATAAGGGTAATGAAGAAAGGAGTTAGTGTTGGGAGTGAGAAAGTGGTAAAAGCTTGCAGTGCAGTGTCATTTTCTGGTACAGTTTTCTGAATTAAAGTATGCTGATGCATTTCCGTGGGGTTTATTATGTCTCTCACGGAAGCTAGGGATATTTAAACTTATACCTCTCGCTAGTTTTTTTTTTTTTTTTCACTAATGCTAGGACATAATTTAGGGATATAATGAATTATCACCAATAAAATGATAATAAAATGTATTTAATGATGGGTCCAATTATAGCATTAAATAAATTCATTATCATATCATTAGTGACAACTCATTATATTCCCAAATTATGTCTATAAATTATGTCACAATAACATTACTCTTTTTTTTTTTTTTTTTTTTGTGGAACAGACACCTGTTGTTAGTTCAAAATACAAAAAACCCACATCTATTTGACAAAATTATTAAAAAGTCAAGTATGATACAATTCCGAGAACAGTTAAGTAAGGAATCCTTAGTCCATGTATCTTTTTTTTTTCTTTGTAAAGAATTAAAAAAAAAATCCTTGGTATTACAATGGTAAAGATACAGTTCATCAAATCCTTAATCCATGGACTAAAGATACTTGATCCTTAGTCCATTTATGTGTTAATTTTTTTAGAGATACAGTACCTTTTTAATGAGATTATTTTCAGGTGTTTAGCAGCACAAGATATAGGTCTTCTTTTTCGTGGTTTTTTTTCTTCTCATCATTTCTTTTGTTTAATGTTTTCGGTCCCGGTTGGGGGCTTTTTTTATTCTAACATTTGATTATGTTTTCATTAGCCATGTCAATCGTGTTGAGTGAGGTGAATTTTTGTCGACTTTTAGTGAATTTGTGCCAAAAAAATATTTCATGCATACCCAATTCATTTATTAATTCGTATTTAACGAATCATAACATATGAGTTTTGAATTGTGTATAAATCGTACATAACTGGTATATAAACGATTTATGTCATAAATTTCTTTTGATTGGATTCACACATACCTGATTCTTTTATTAAGTAAGTTGTGTTGGGTTTACTAATTTATGAAACGAATGGTTTAAAAAGGATACAAATCTTCTAATTTTATATCATGTTCATGTTATGTTAATGAATCGTGTTATATTTTAACACCCCTAGTTTTCATTGCCATTGTTGCACGAAGAGTTCTTTTCTCTCATTTCAAATCAACAAATGCATTGTGCATTGAGTGCACATCATGAGATTGGATTGGTGAAGTATCTATGTTCTTTTCCTTGGATTGAATTTGTAGGTTTTAGTATATATATGGATCTGCACATAAGGCAATAGTACAAAGCAAAACATTTTTTAACTTTTTGTGTGGATGAAATTGGTTTCGAAATTAATAAATGGGCTTTTATAATTAGAAAGGAGTGCATGCAATTTGGCAAAGAGTAAGTATAATAGACAGTTACAAAATTGCATCGTATCCCTTGAGCATGTTATATACATATACTATTTTTCGGTTAACGAAATTACTTACTTACCAAAAATAAAATCAACATTAATTGACCGAGAGGATGGACACAAGTGAAGGCTGGAAAATGCATTGAAATTGAGAGTGAAGCATTCTGATTACTTAGATTCCCTGGTTAATTGTCTATGAGGAGGATCCTCTAGGTTCATACCGGTTAATGATGCATAACCTTATGTGATATATATTATACACAATTCCAACATAAAATTAGCAGCATATATGGAGCTTATGTTGTTTATGTTCAATCTTGGTCATCTTTGAAACAAACATTCACATAAGTTGGTTGTCGGTAGGTTGTTCTAAAGGAAAACGTTATTTGTACAGTTGTACTTAATTTATTGACATTATTTGTTGACTTAAAAGCATCACATCTGTTGAATTGGTAATGGATTCTAACTAATATTGGGACTCATAGTCAATTCAATGACAACAATTTATTAGGACAAAAAATTAATTACAAGAAACATTACTCTGATCTGAATATATAATCCTTAATTATACTTTTTTTTTTCTAATATATATATATATATTTTTTTGGGAGGGAGGACTTGAACCCTTGAATATAATCCTTAATTATACTGTTATTTTGATGTTTCCTATGATTCTTATTTCAGTCTTCCTTTCTGTGGCTCATATATGTAGTACTGTTTATCCTCAGTAACTAACAAATTGTATAAAACAACATAAAATTTGATTTTGGGTTTTTTTTGTTTTTTTTTTTTGGGCGGGGGGGTTGAAATGGAAGTGCTAATTCAAGAATAGGGAATTAAGGAGAGGCCGATAAGCTTATTATTCATAAATTTTTCAAATTAAGAGCCAGTTTGCCCTTTAATCTCATTTGTAATTTCTGTCATAGGGTCACCAACCATGATCCATTGAGGTTCATTCCAACAACTGTTATCAGAAGAAAAGAAAATTACTCTAATATGTTGTGTGACGGGAAAGCGGGAGTTATATATTTTTTTCTTTTAGCTCGAGCTCAATTTCAAATCCATAATTTTTTATTTTTTTTTCCTGAAAGCAAGCTGCAGGAAATACATTGTTGTGATAGATATGGACATTTCCATTTCCACACAAGAATGGTATTAATTATATGCTTTTCCCTTTCATACTTACTATATAAACTTCTTGTATGTGACCTAGTCACACAAGTCACTATAAAAACCTTTTCTTCACCTACCTTGAAATGGACTCACACGAAAATGGCAACATGACGGTCTCTGTCTGTGATGAAAAATATATTAGAGGAGATTTGAGTGAGTTAAAATCCACTTTTGTGATAAAAAATTCTGCCATGATTTTTGAAGGCACGAGCTTGTGATGGCACTATAGACTCAAAACTACGAGGTTATACATTTGAAAGGTCAAAGAAGAAAATTATAACCCGATGGAGTCGTTCAAGTGATAGTAGAGACAATTTGTAAATTTAAATATTTTGAATTCGAATTTTGGAAACTCCTTTAGGTTAGGTCACGAGAGATTTATCTCTCATGAATCCTCTAATCTTGACGTAGATGATTTGTTTTTAACCAGATCGAAGATGAGATTAGTTAATGTACGCGTAAGTAAGCTGAACCCAGACACCCCTGACTGTTGAACTTAAAAAAGGAAAAAATCGTAAGGTTATCATATGCTACTAATGGTTCTATTCTATTAACTTCTTCATTAATCAATACATATATTGAGAACTAATTTGAGTCAGAAAAAATCAGAAAAACTTGGGAGATATCAATTTACAGTTTCGGGGCGATTTCTTAGAGGGAAAAAATATTATCGTTAGAAAAAATAAAAACATGATTTATTATTATTTTGTTAAAAAATAAAATTTCTTTTTTTTAATATATAAATGGTGCACTCCTGTATGCGCCTATGTATGTTATTGTACATGCGATCAAGTTTGTAGCAATGGATCGAGTAAGGAAAAAATCAAGAAAAATAAAAATAAAAAATAAATGCTATTTGAAAAAAGGAAAAAATTAAAAAAATGCTTATATGTTTGAGAAGGGGATTTTATAAAAGTTCAAGTTTCTCTACTTCGGGCAAAATAAATGGAGATACCTTCCAATAAATATTTCTTTTTTTTTTCCTTCTTGATAAATCACTTACCATAAATTTAAGAGGGATCTATTTTATATAAGTGGGTTCCTCATAACTACATAGTATATGATTTGTCAAGAAGAGAAAAATGTATATTTGAGGAGCTCTTGATCGGCGCATACCAAAAGTACTGTGTCTAGGGGTGTCAATCGTGTCATGTTCGTATGATTCACATGTCGTATTATTGTTATTCGTATCGTGTTCGTGTCAAGACCCATGACAAAAAAATCTATTTATGACTAGTTTGTTTTGGCGATAAGAGTGATATAAGGAGGTGGGATTAGAAAAATAATACGTGAAACTCATCTTATATCTTGTTTGTTTAGTATTTTATAATCAGTACTATTTTTCGGGTCGTAATGCCGACCCGGTTTGAACAGTAATCATAATGTTTTGTAGATGATATTAATGAATACCACCTACCAAGTGATATTATTTTCATGAGTTAAATGAAAGGACGGTACAAACATGCAAATTGACACAAATGCCCTTCTTTGTTAAGAGTTTACATAGAAAAAATTTATTTTAAATTTTTTCTTTATGTTATGTTTAAGCATACGGTGTCGCCGATTTTTTTTTTAATTTTTTTTAAAAAAATTATTTTGAATTTTTTTTCTTATATTATGTTTAAGCGTACAGTGTTACCGGTTTTTTTTTTTTTTTTTTTTAATTTTTTAAAAAAATTATTTAAATTTTTTTCCTTGTATAGATGGTCAAGGATAAAATGTAATGGATGATGTTAGGGGTAAAATGTAATGGATGATGTTAAGGGTAAAATGTAATAGATTATGTTAAGGGTAAAATGACATATTTGTTATATAAGATGTGATAGAATACATGGTTGCTTGTAAGACCCACCATAGTACCTATTGAACAAACAAATATGAGAGTGGATTGAAATAATTTTTATTACCGGTACTAATATCCCTTGGTATTGGAAATATAAGGAATACATTTCAAATAGCACCCATAAATAATACTCGAAACAAACATGTCATTAATGTGTTTTGAGTATTAAATATTAATTTAGACTATTTATTATGCATATTTAATAATCGTATCAATTTTATAATCGTTCGTATCAGATTTGTATCTATGGGTCAAAAATGACACCCCTAACTGTGTCTCACCGTTTTTGCACAGAAATAACTTAGGGGCATGTTTAGAGGGAATTGGTGGAGGATTGGACTAGTTTTACCAATCCCTCCCAAACCTAATTCCCCCCCCCCCCCCCCCCCCCTTCTTTTTGGCGCATGGGATTCACACAAATCATTTTCAATCTCTATTTTGGTGAGTATTATACACATTGTGGAAAATCTACAGATTAATCACAATTATAACTAAAAAATTCTCATGTAATTGACAAAAATACTCATAAGTCAATTCAATTCATAGTCATGTTTATTTAAGTAAATTTTTTTTTTGTCAACTTATAAATT